CTAACTTGATTTGAGAAAGTGACTTCCTTATTTCCTAATCTAAGTGTTAATTTACCATTGTGAACATCGATAACAGATTTCGTGGTTGCTAGAAATGGTCTACCGAGAATGAGGGGGCCATCAACCTCGCCAGGCATGTCCAGGATAACAAAGTCAGCTGGGAATCTAAAACGATATACCTTAATGAGTAAATCCTGAATCAAATTCTTAGGAAAAACAATACACCTAGCTCCTAAATTGGCTAAGTATTTCTTAAACAAGAGACCACCAATCATGCAAGGTAAAGTAAAACTCCCTGGATCGTTCTTCTTCTCTGGAAGCTTGCTCTGAATCGCGAGAGAACCCATCCCGTTGAGCTCAAAAGATGTGACCTCCCCCAATTTCTCCTTCTTGGTCAACAAGTTCTTCAAGTATCTCGAATATTTGGGAATTTGAGTCGCAACATCCAGGAATGAAATAGAGATCGGGATTTGCTTCAGTAGGATTAAAAATTCTGCAAACTCATTATCCATGGCGTCATTCCTCAATTTGGAGGGGTAAGGTGCGGAGGGGGCCTTGCTCCTCGAGCTAGTCTTGGTCAATTTCCTATCTGTCGTCGGTGAGAGGGTAGTGTCATCATTTTCTCTTCTCTTTTCCCTCTTCATCACTAGTTTCCTCAGCCGTGAGACTTTCTTTCGGAAATCTTGGAGTCCCGTCTCATTTCGTTCTTGGTTCTTTTATAGCTCTTGGAAATTGGCTGGTAGGGTTCCCAAGAGTTCTTCCACTTTTTCTGTTCTGTCAAAACTCTCCCTTACAACCTTCTGAATTTTAGAAAGACAACCTTCTAGATCCTCTAGTTTCCTTGGGAAGGTCTCCATACTCCCATCACTACTGGTTATTGATCTTTCCTTGAGCATGTGCTTTAACGGAGGTAAAAAAGTTAAAACTTGATCCTGATCTAGTGACGGGAGTCGCTCGGTCTCATCATCCATTTGCGAGATTGCTGATATTGTGATGGGATTAGATTCATCTTCTTCTCGTATCTCCTTCCACTCATGCTCAGTTTCCGCCATGTCTTGTAAGAGATTTAAAATGTCCCCTGGTTCTTTGTTCTTCAAATTCCTACTACTGTAATCAAGATGCGATTCTTCTCTTCGCTTTTGAGTCCTTTGAAGAAGATAACAACCTTTCTCCAGTCTTCAATACCATGATGAAGGCATTTGTATAATAGGACATTGAATCTCTCCCATGCTTCCCCCAAAGTCTCTTGGTTGATTTTCTTGAATGTGTTAATAGTAGCTCGCATGCTTGCAGTCTTCGAGGAGGGAAAGAATCTGTTAAGGAATTTATTGCAAAGATCCTCCCACGAGGCACGAAGTGATAGAATGGTGGCGCTGACTCGTGAACCACTTCTTAGATTCTCCAGCAAGGGAGAAGGGAAAAAGGCGTAGGCAGACAAACTCCCTAAGATCTTCATTCACATTCAACCCGTCGGTAAGGAGGAGAAATTCCTCTACATGGTGATGGGGGATTCCCTCCTTTTCCCCCTTTAATTGGTAATCGGTCTTGATCATTGAAATCATACCTGGCGTGATCTCGCACTCTTGCCCCGTGAGACTAGGGTAAAGTATTGGGGCGTGAATGTCCTTGGTTCCTGGACAAGAATAAAATCTCATTGTTCTCGGCCTTGGTGGCAATTGAGCTTGATGCTCCACCATTTGTGGAGGTTGAGGTCTTGCAACTCTTTATAGATTCCGAAGGGTCCTCTCGATTTTAGAATCAAAAGGTAATATTTCCACGGAATCCCTTCTTCGCATACAATGGTGCTACAAAAAACAACATCAACAACCCGTGACGTACAAAGTTGGATAACAAAACAAACAACAATACAAATACGAGAAGAACAAAACACGAAACAAACACCCAAAATAAAACACAAACACAACACAAAACAAATAAAGCAAGGTAAAGACTAACTGACAACTTAATGGTTTTCTACTAGTTACCAAGGGACTCTGGCAATGGCGCCAAAAGCTTGATCACTTGAATCCGTGCAAGTTATTGTCCGAGGTTAGCACATATCAACAAATATCCCATCCTAGGCCAAGTTTAACCTAGAACAGAATTGTCGTATAGTGGTAATCAAGGTCGTATTTTACTCGGGTCCTGGTACCCTAGCCAACTTCCCACTTAGTTGCTAATTAGTTCATCGGTTTTTGAGTTTTAAGTGGAGGATATGAGAAAACACTAGTCTAGAGGTTGATCAAAGCTAAAAGCAGGTACTTCGGGAAACTATTCCTACCCCTAGTTTACAGTCACTATGCATATCTAGATACTTAGGGTCATCGAATGTGGTGAGTGAGCTCTTTTCTGTGGGCTTTCGTGGTTATCCACATGCCTCCCTTAAACCCATGTTCCAGTCACCTCGATCTAGACTATCGTACATGGGGCATTAAGCTTATGGCTCATTCCAATGGACACTATCCACCGTCCACATAGAGGTTTCATCCCGGGTTTCATCTAGGAAGGCTACCTATGGCAGGACTTCGGTCGCCTCGACTACTATAGGCCCCCATTCACACATCTAACCTAAACCCGTCTAACCCTACAACTCTGTACCCAACGCGGTAGCATAAAGTAGGCTAAGAGGGAAGATTAGGTCAAATTACCCAAGCGTCATCATTTAGGAGAGAGTGGCATTAAAATCAACTAGACAAACACATTTATTCATTCAAACCCTAAAATATCCATATATACATAGTAAACACTAAAACTAGGGTTTGGGGTTTAGAAGCCCTAGTACCTTAGAGGATTACTCCATAAAGGAGGGAAGCAGATACATGGTAGAAGTAGAAGAAGACTTGGGGTTGAAGAAGATGCCTCATTGCTCCTAGATCATCCTTCTCATTCTCTTCTCCTTCCTCCAGCTTCTCTCTCTAGAACCAGAAAGTTTCTCTCAAAATCAGCTCTCTTCAAAAGGGGGAAATGGGTCTTGTATTTATAGGCATTCTGAACTCGGGAAAGTTCATGTCCTGAGGAAGGGAGATCGCGGGCGGGATCTTTGGTCTCTGGACCGTGATCTCAAAACGCAGTCGTCGAGGCCTTTTGGACAGGGGAAGATCGCAGGCTAACTTCGCAGTCACGATCCATAAGCCATGATCTTCAGCTGGTTTTCGCGGCTTGTAATCCCGGTCGTGATCTTCGGCTTCTAGCCCACGATTTTCAAGTCCTGGCCCTTCTCTACACTTGTGACCTTGTTTTGCACCTAATTTGCATATATCGACTAATACATCCTAAAATCACATAAAAAATCAAATATGAACGCAATACGGATGTATTTGATGATGTTCAAGAATTAAAGCACATGAATTGGCACGAAACACACCTACATATGTAGGGTAAATAACACCAAGTTTAATGTTATCAGGTAGCGACATCATCCTCCCTTTCTTGGAAAGCCTTCAATGGTTTAATCGTTGATGGTCGTTTGGGCCATTGCGACCACGATTATATTGGCGACAACCTTAATTCCCAGATCCCTTTCCTCCCAAATTGCTATACCCAGGTGGATACCCAATAAGCTCGAAGCATCGCTCTTTTCTATTCCCAAACTTTTGGCAGTGCGAACAACAAAGGAAATGTGAGTCGGAGCCCCCATGGTCAGAGTTTTTAGTGAGCCTACCACCTGATTGAGAGGCGGCAAAAGCAGCCGCATCAACTTAGAGCTTACGCTGAGTGGCTATTTTCCTCTACTACTCGCCGGTGTAGACCATATTGTACGCCTTGGTAATCGACGAGATGACTTCATTGACAAGATTTGAGACTTCACATTGGAGGAAGACATCGTCTAGCCCCATTAGAAAGTCAAATAGCTTGATTCTTTCATCCTGATCACAAGTTCGTTTCTCTAGGTTGCGCGTGGATTAACCGCAGGTACACGCAGGAGTTGGGGAAATTTGTTGCCCCTCCTCTTATATAGACTGCATAGTTCTGTGTAATAAGTAGAAACAATGAGCTTGGCCTGTGCAAGTAAACTGATCAACCGACGTAACTTGTAATGTCGTGGTATGCTCCCTTGCCCAAATATCGTGTGGAGATCATCCCAGATCTGCTTAGTCATTTTCTCAAAGTGGATGCTACATCGAACTTCAAGCGTCATAGAAGCCTTCAGCCAACCCTTGATGGTCGCATCACAACACAATCAGACATCCAGTTCGCGAGCAGCACTCGGACGAATAACCGTCCCATCAACAACCCTAGCTTTTTCTTGACTAGGGGAGAATAAGTCATGTCGATAACCCATTCACCATAATTATTGTCGTCAAGAGATCGCCCACGTGTTGTGTATCTAATTGAGGTATAAAATATAGGAAGTTGACATTCGAAGTGAGGGGCTTCTCCATAGAAGCTTGCAAGGCATCATTCTTGACCTCGTTGCTCATAATGCAGCAAGGAGAAGCTAACCGATGCCACTGATGTAAGAGAAGAAAGGTGCTGAATCTTTACAGCTCTAATACCATGATAAAAAAGCACAAAAACGAAAACAAGACACGATGTTTTACATGATTTCCTCTTTCAGTTTGAACAAGACTACTCCATGGAGAGCAAAGCTCTCGGTTTCTTTTATTGTTCTTAAAAGTTGTATGTAATTAACTTGGAGATACAGCTCAAAGTCCCAGCTTATATGCAGCCGCACACTCTTCTACAGAAGCAACTAGGGTTTGGCATAACCTAAGGTAAATGACAATAATTATCCCAAATAATGCAATCTTAACAAATGAGTCATGCACACATGCGGTTCAACATTTCCAAATATCATTCTCTCTGTTTGTCCCTTTCACATTATTCCTCAATTCTTATTATTAATCCTTTCTTGACTATGCATCTCTAATGCTTCCTTCTTCTTTTCTCAATCCAATCCACTTTTCTTACCTCCTTGTCGTAATTGATCCTTCCTGGACTGTCTGCCACATACCCATCATGTAATTGAACATTTCCATGCATTACAAAAACTTATTCTTTATTCAACCAACTAAAAGAAACCAGGCCGGCCGGGTTTGTGTGTGCAGTTACAAGAAAGTGGAAATAGAGAAAAGGAAATATGACATAAATGGAAACATGCACGACCACACACACTGTGGTTATTAATTATTCATGAGCCGCCCCATTGGTATAAGGATCTGAATCCCGATTAACACGCTACGCCTCCAACGCAAACCCATTGACCGACGAAGAGACGCCTGCAAGGCAAATTTGGGTTGAAAGAAAGGAATTTGGTCGTGCTCATGCGAAAAGTCGCAGCAACTCCATCGCAGCTGTCGTGCTTCTTCACCTGGACAGCCTTATTACAGGTTTGTACGCATGCCGCTGCACTCAAAATCGTTAAATAGTCAATATTATTAACGATCGAGTTATCGATCCCTTGATCGAGATGATAACTGGGTTTAATTTGATATACGTACTGCTTTGGGCGGTGGAAATCATCAGGAGAAGGAAAGCGAAGGCCAGCAGGAGGGATTTCTTGGCTTTGGCCATTTCCTCAGCAGGAGAGGAGGTATTTTATTTAACTTCGGGAGTTGAAATATTTCTCAAGCTGATCAATTGGGTTGGCTGGCGTTTTGGTGTGGGTTTTCAAGGGTAAAAGTCGATTGCTTATTTATATACATAAAATTTGAAGGATTTTCTTTTATGATCCCTAGATAGGGGATAATAACAAGAATGGAGAATTTTATTAAAGCACATGTTGACAAGATTATATATAGTTGTTTCATGTATCAGTTGTGTTCTTTTCTTGAAATTTTTGTGTGGTAGAGCCAACAACAAGACGCTAATCGGGGAAGTAATTGCCTCCTAGTTGGCCTATGTACATATAATAAAATATGAATAGCTGGCTAGCGTACAATTTCTTTTTGGACCGTATTCAATTTTGGACCGTATATTTTCTTAATACATGAGCACTCCCTCGGGATTGACAGTTTCAATTGTTTTTAATTTTAAATTAAAGATGTGTACAATTTATTAAGTCAAAGTAGAATTAAGAGTTTATATATTACTATAAAAAAAGAATTAAGAGTTTATATAAAGTGTTTCATTAGAGTAACTCCAACCCCAACCATGGGACCGGTTACTATAACAACACCCCTTGTGTTGTTATTGTAACAACACTAGTCTCCAACCAATAGGAAGCTAGGGTTGTGATGACTTTTTATTAGATGAGTTGACCTAGTGTAAAATCAAAGCAGGGGTATAATTGTCATTATGAAAAATATATTTAAATAATAATAAAAAAATAAAAAAGTAAAAAATATTTTTTTTATTTTCGGCCCAAAATTTTGGTCGCCGGAATTCGGCCATCGGTCGCCGGAATCTGGTCGCCGGTCACCGGAATATGCTTTTTTGTCGCCGGAATATGTTTTTTGTCATCGGAATATGCCACCGTCGCCGGAATATGCTCACCGTGGTCGGAATATGCTTATCGGCGTCGGAATCTAGTCATCGGGGCCGGAATATGCTTATCGGCGCCGGAATCTACTCACTGACGGTCATCGGAGTTTGGTCAATGGTCTTCGCTGACCGGTCAACGGCCAACGACCACCGGATGTTATGGGCTGCATTGTGAGATTTATGGTTTGGTTTCTCATATTTTTGTATGCCTTTTGTGGTTTGCTTTATCGTGTTTGTGGTTTGCATTAAGAAGTTTCTGGTTTGCTTTATCGTGTTTGTGGTTTGCATTGAGAAGTTTCTGGTTTGCTTTCAAAAACTTTGTGGTTTGCATTGAGGGGTTTCTGGTTTGTTTTAATATATTTATGGTTTGCATTGGGACCTTTATGGTTTGCTTTTTTGTGGTTTGATTTACTGTGTTTGTGGTTTGCATTATGAGGTTTCTGGTGTGCTTTCGTAAATGTTGTGGTTTGCTTTGTGAGGTTTGTGGTTTGTTTTAGGAGATTTGTGGTATGCATTAGGAGGTTTCTGGTTTGCATTAAGAAATTTCTGGTGTGCTTTCGATAATTTTGTGGTTTGATTTGCGAGGTTTCTCGTTTGTTTTAATATATTTGTGGTCTGCATTAGGACGTTTTTTGTTTTCTTTACCATGTTTGTGATTTGCATTAGGGGGTTTCTGGTGTGCTTTGCAAAATATTTATGGTTTGCTTTGTGGGGGTTTTTTTTATATATTTTAGCGAATTTGTGGTTTGCATTAGGAGGTTTCCGGTATGTTTTTTGTGGAATGTTTTATTGCATTTGTGGTTTGAACTAGGGGGTTTTTGGTGTTAGAAATATTTGTGATTTTGTTTATTCTGTTTTTGGTTGGTTTTAGTGACTTGTGCTCTGCATTAGAAAAATTATAAATTGACTTATACTCACTAATTGCAATTACAAATGAACTAAATTGGTGTTTTGCAATGAAAATTAAAGTGAGTCTAATTGCAGTAGTTGGCTTTTCAATTTCATTGACCCGAGATGCAATTCTTCAAATTTTCATCCCATTTCATTTTCTTGGACAAAGCTCAAACCCACTGGATAGCTAATCGCCTACCTCATCCTCAGCATTGTAGTGGTGCTTGTAAATCCCATGGAGGAAGTGATACTTGTACAATAGAGGTTTAATATCTCCGCCACTGGTGGCGAAATCCATGGCGGCGCGGTGGAGGCCGTCGAGCTCCAACCGGATAGCTTTGTGGAAGAAGAGGAATATGAGTATGGGGGACTTGAGTACGGAATTCTTGAGGCAAGACTTGGACGGCGTTGAAGGATCGATTGGGTTCAGTGGACCTGCCATTACCGCAACGCCGCCAGCGCCTCCGTCCACACCGAAAAATGGCGTCGCCATTACTCGGAGTTCCCCTACACAGGAAAAACCAAACTCGGCGGCGTTCTGTGCAACGTCGTCGGCCCCCGTCTCATGCTCCCCGCGGGATGCATCACCTACGCGCTCTACGCTTGGTCCTTCCTCTACTACAACCACTCCCGTGACCAGACAGTCATCGTCGTCGCCGGCGGGATATTGGGAGTCGGCGGCGGTATGCTGTGGTCGGTGCAGGGAGCGGTGTTGAGATTCGCCGGCGCCGGAGTAGGATTTCTCCACTGAGGAGAGTTGGAATTTGGGATTAGATGGCAGTCGGAGGAGGACACCAGCGATGGAGAACAGAGCGGAGAGGAAAGCACGTAGATAAGGGATAATTTTTATTTTTATTATTTTTATTGTAAATTTCCAATTTTGCCCTTAATGAATTATGTTGTTACGCTAACAACAGATAGGGTGTTGTTATTCTATCCTATCTTAATTTAGCCCCTTTTATTTCAAACACCCAAATTTGATTCACCCTTTTCATGTTTTACTTCAACCCTGCTCCTCTCAAATTTAGCTCTATTTTCTTTTAAATCTCTTTCACATTTATCTATTTATGATGATTCTAATTTATTCTTTTCATTGGCATTTTACAGTTCATCGTCATTTTAAAAGAAAAAATTTCGATAATTTTTAGCAAAATTTTTAGGCAAAATTTTTGTTGTCGAAAATAGCCATTAATCCAAGAGGATTTTACATTACAGTTCTAGTTTTTTTTAAAGTAAAACACACACTAATGATAAGATGAAATAACAAGATCAAGACACTTGAAAATAATAAAGATTAAACACATAAGATGTCCTTAATCGAACTAAGGTCGATAGTAAGCCGCTTCTTTCCCTCTCCACTTTTTGGTCCATCGTCACCATGACTTGCATTGGAAGAATAGTTTGTAGTAGAGTTTGGATAATCTTGATTGTATTCTAGAAGGTCGCTTTATCTGCCTCTCCAAAACTTACTTTTTCTTGGCGTTTTGGACAAATCCTTTAAAAGAAGGGTAAATACAATTATTAGCCACAACTAGTACGAAGCAGGAAATTATATCCACAACCACAACTATGAAAAGACTAATTATTAGCTATAACTATTGTTACGCGTAAACGAATGGCTAACAGTCCGTTACCGTTATTAACTTTGTAACGGAAAAATCTACGTCAGCAACCACATCACCTTCTACGTAATATTAATATTTAGTTATAGTTTTCTAACATTAAAAATCAAAGCAAAAAATGGAGGGTCAAAGCCCTTCATCTTCTTCCCCAACCACACCTCCTCCAATCAAATCCCTCTGCCTCAATCCCTCCGCCTCCGCCACCTCCTCCTCCTCCTCGAATCCTTTCAATGACGACCCCGGCGCGATGTCTCCAGCAGCCAGGTACGCGGCGACTAAGAAGGCGAAGTCCCCGAAAGATAAGGGGATAAATTCGTTGATTTATCCGCAGAGTTGGAAAGCAGCATCTCGTCGAATCCCCAGTCGTTCCCCACCGCATCCACCGCTGCTAGCCCTTCGTCGTCTCCTTCAATTCCTTCTCGCAGCTGCATCCTTGTTCCATTCCCCGCCAGGTCTTCTTCGATTCCAGTTGTTATCCCCGCCGTCCCCTACTTCTCGCTCCGCTGATGATGCTGGCAACAGGGAAGCGATAGCATGAAGGGAGGAGACAAAACGTCGATGGTGGAGGAAGAAGAAGATTCCGCCTTTTAAGATTTTTCCCCCTTCCATTTTCATAATTTATTTTTTAAAACAAAAAACATTATATGGTTACTGCCACGTGGGAGCCATGTCAACATCTTAAAGTTTAGTCAGCATCATCTAACGGAATTATTAACGGAGAGTTGACGTTTGGTTAGTAATTTATATTCTGATAGTTGTGGCTATTATGCCCCGCTGCTTAATAGTTGTGGCTTGTGGCTAATATATTGTATTTACCCTTAAAATAATGACCATGTTTTATTGACGTAGCGACACTTTCCTCTCTCTCTCTCTTTTCTGCTCCACATATTCGCATTTCCCTCTTGTATGGCATCTTCTCTTCATCATCAACCAATTTTCTTTCTTGTAGTTCCATTCTTATGCGTTCATACTCGGCCCTCAACTCCAGCAATTGAGAATCGTAGATTTCCGAAGTCTCAGCAACACCCTTTCCTTTCTTCCTCGCCTTTTGTTTGTCAAGTCCCTCAGGGAGAGTTAAGACGAAGGTTAGACACATGTGGTATTATTTTGGTTCCAAAATTTCCTTTAATGCGATCTTGTCTATCAGTTTAGAAAATGGAGAAAAGCGGATGAATCTGATGTCTAGAAGGTGCGTTGTGAATATTACAACCCAGGTTGTGACCCGTTGTCATCCCATTTGAATTTGAAAGATATTGCTTCATTGATCAAGTATAGGGCTTATGCTAACGAGGTCCGGAGGGACAAGGAGATGTTTGCAGATGGAGGGACGAAAAAGATTTTTTTCTATTCTTTTATTATAAAAAGTGTTAGCAACAAATGAAGAATATATATCAGATGTCCAACGCGGTATTATTAGTTGACTATCGAATGTTTTTATGGCCGAATGATTTCCTTTTGGGTTTTGTATCCGATGTTTTAGGAATGAATTGGATACATAACTGTTTTTGCTTTAGTATATTCACTAGCTTGCATTCCACCATCTGCATCTACGACATTTTCTCAAATTTGGTAAAGTTGAAACTTTAGTGTCTTGTGAAGTATAAACCATAAAATCAAGTGCTCGGTCTAGCAAAACATACTGGTGACAAGCATTGAAGACCCAAACACTTGAATTTCAGAGGCGGCCTGTTATTGCGCGGACACGTGCCCATTTCCTATTAATGATATAGGTTCAATCTGTTAGCATATCATGCCATTTGTCACGTTGACACATGCCTACTAGTACATAGCCCATCTATCTATAGGCCCATAAAGCCCATGCACGAAGACAACGTTGGATAATGTTTGCCTCCTAGGGTTCAACCTTTCTTTGTTGTTTTTAATATATATAGCTTCCGCAGTTGTGAGCAGTAAATGTACAGTTTTAGAGAATTATAATATCAGTAGCCTGGAGAGTGTTAAGCTCTCCCGTGGATTAATCCAAATCATCAGGGATACCGAGTAAACCGTCTGTGTTCTTATTTTCGTACTGATTTGTTTAGTTTGATATCCGTTCCGATCTGCAAACATGGTATCGGGGCTTCCAACAGTAGATTTGTCTGTTCCTCAGGTTCGGGTTAGTTCAACGAATTATTTCTAGTGGGAGTTTCAGCTCCGAGTGTTCGTTGAAGGAAGGGGCTTACTTGGTATACTGAATGGGACTACTCTACCACCTGGCGTGACAGCCAACGCGAAGGAGATCACTGTGTGGGCTCAAAACAATGCAAGAGTGTGGTCATGGATGATGGGATGCATCGATCCGTCGACTTACTTGAGTCTGCATCTGTTTGCCACGGCAAACAGGATGTGGGGACATCTTTCATCTACGTACTCCTTTGTCAGCACCGCACGACAATTCGAGATTCTTTTTTTTTTTTTTGATCGACTGCAACAAGAATATAAATTGGTGACTGAATACTTCAATTCAGTCCAAGAACTTTGGACTGAACAAGACTTGTTGACAACTGCTCTCCGCCCGAGGGCGCTTTCTGCTGATGCAATTGTGGAGCGGCAACAGACGCAGGTTCTAACCTTTCTGATGTGCCTCCGACCGAAATTTTAGTCAGTCTGATCTATGCTACTGAATAAGGACGATCTATGATTTGATGGGGTCTTGGCGCATTTGGTAAGTGAAGAGGTTCGTCTCCGAACTCAAGCACAAGTTGATATCCGTCCGGGGGTAGCCTCGGCTACTACTGCTCCGTCTGCATTTTCCGTTGATCGGCCACTGTTTCAACGGTGGATTCCAATTACTGACTTGGAATGCCACCATTTTCGCGAAAGAGGCCACGTTCAAAAGCACTATCGCCGGCGCAACTTCTGCGTCTATTGTAAGCGATGCAGACATATGATTCTAGACTAGCGATCTCGGCAGAGAAATGAAGCACGCACATCTGGGTGAGTAGGTTTGAGTTTGCTTCCACCAGTAGCTCGCTCAGCCAATGTTGTTCTTCATCACGATCAGGCGATGACGTTAGAAACCGAAAGTCATGGAGCAGGCGCTGGGATGTTAGCTGGTGATATAGAACAGATGGTCAATTCGGCCTTACAATGATCATTACTGACTGCGATTAGTCCTGCCTTCACTACTCTTCAGGGTCCAAGTAACAATACACCTTGGCTACTCGATTCAGCGTGCTTTAATCACATGACGCATGAAAATGGTAAATTGAAATATATTGTTCCTGTGGATAGTGAGAAATTGAGTTTGCCATACTTAGGGATGGCAATGGGGCGGGTTTGGGGCGGGTTTGCCTAAACCATCCCCATCCCCATCTTCAAATACCCAAACCCATACCCGCCCCATACCCATGCGGGGGAATGTTTTGCAAACCCATCCCCATACCCGTGGGTTTCGGGTACCCATGGGTAATACCCATCCCCGTATATCCAACATTATTATACCTAAAACTTACAAGAAAAGTTTTAATTATAACCATAAACAAACCTATTATATCACGAAGTCAACAAAACACGGTCATTTTCTAAATACGATTCAAAGAATATGATCATAAAACATCCATTAATACATAATATAGACTATAATATTTTTTAAATTATTATGCTCTAACTCTTAATACATTTACTAAGTAATAATTAACTAACATAATTTTGTTGACAAGGGGGAAAGTGAAAGAGTGGAAGAAGAATTGAGGGAAATGAATTAGGTTTTGATTAAGGTGGTTACTCAATTGCATTTCTACTATTTATTTTCTCGAGTTATCATCATCATTGATAGATTACAATTTAATCCACGTATTTTTTGATATGTGAAGAAATTCTCTTGGTGGGGCGGGTATGGGTATGGGTATGGGGCGGGGGAGGCTAAAACCATACCCGCCCCATACCCATCAAACCTTTTGCGGGTTTTACCCATACCCGCCCCATACCCGGTCAAAGCGGGGATTCCCCGCGTTGACTGGGTATGGGGCGGTCGGATACCCGCGGCCATGGGTTTGATTGCCATCCCTAGCCATACTCTACATTTTCCCAAGTTAGTTCCTACTGTTGTCTCTGTTGGGCAACTTATTGAGCAAGGTTGTTCTTTTATGTTTGAACTATCTGGATGTGTGATACAGGATTTGAAGACGGGGAGGAAGATAGGAAAGAGGAGTAAACGTGGGAGGATCTTCCGCCTGGATGAGTTACAAGAACGTCCAACATTGCCATCATCATCCATTCCTGGTCATGATAGGTCTGTTAGTAGTCAGTCAAGTTCTGAGTCTTTGCCTGTTAGTTTCTCGAGTCTTGCAAATAGTAAGTGGGATCTTTGGCAGTCACGGTTAGGTCATCCTCACTCTAGTCGCCTTGTAACGATGTTCTGACAATCTTTACTTGGCAAAAATAATGTCGGAGTTTGTGAAAACATTCTTGTACTAGTTGTTTTGAAGTAAAAACAATCAGTATTTCCTTTCCTTTTAGTACTACTGTTATCACTAATCCTTTTCATATCATCCACATTGATCTTTGGGGACCTTCACCTGATTTATCTAGGCATGGATGTCGTTATTTTTCTCTTTTTATTGACCATGCTACTCGATTTATTTGGGTGTACTTTCTTCGTAAAAAATCTGAACTTCGATCCACTGCTACCAAAATTTTGAAAATGAACCAAGCTCAGTTTGCCCGTCTTGTTAAGATAATTCGCTCCGATCCTGACAGTGAGTTTAGCTCATTTCCCTTGTTGGATGTTTATCGTTCTTTTGGGGTTTTGAGTCAAAAATCCTGTCCTGGGGTATCTCAACAGAATGATCTCGTCAAATGTAAAAATCGCCATGTTCTGGATCTTACTAGAGTAAGAAAAGTCCATTTTTTGCCTTGTTTTCATGTCATCCTGATTACTCTCGTCTTCCAGTATTTGGTTGTCTCTGTTTCGTACTTCTTCCAAAATTTAAGCGTACTAAATTGTCCTTCAAAATCGCTCATTGTGTCTTTGTGGGTTATAGCGACATTCACAAGGGATATTTGTGTTATGATCCCTTGCTCAAATGTGTGCGTATAGCCCGCACAGTGGTGTTCTTTGAACACATCAAGTTTTACACTCCTGACTCCTGAGTCCCCTATTACTTGTTTCCCAGCTCCAAATTGGCCCCTTCCGTTCTTTAGTAATGATTGTGATGGTTATGATGATCCTTCTACTACGCTTCCAACTCACCCCATGATGATCTGTGTCCCCATGAACCGACCACGCCTGTGACATTAAGTTCAGCTGCGTCATCTAGTGATTCATCCTCCAGTCAACAACTTACTTCCTCAAATCCTTTGTCTATTAATTCAACACCCAGCAGCTCAGTCGCAACTACTTCTCATAGCCTGCAGCTTACTTCGTCACCTCCTACGTCAGTTGATACAACAACCAGCTCGGCTGCTTCTGATTCTCCCAGTCTGCCTCCCCTTCGCCATTCCACTCGTTCCACACAGGGTATCCAACCACCTCGCTTTAACGACTATGTTGCCCATGGAATCGAGGCACTGGTTGTACCGACACGTTACAAGAAGGCCAAGGGTATTTCAGTCTTGGAACAGGCTATGCAACGTAACTTAGAAGCTCTTCATTCTAATAACACATGACTTTAGTGCCTCGCCCATCTTAATCTACATCGGTCGTTGGATGTCGTTGGGTTTATACTAACAAGATGCACCCCCGATGGAACTGTTGATCGTTATAAAGCAAGGCTTGTTGCAGAGGGATTCACTCAAGAGTTTGGTTTCGACTATAGTGAGACTTTTACTCTCGTTGCCAAAATGTCAACATACGTACCTTGTTATCCATTGCTGCTTTACAAAATTGGTCATTGTATCATCTTGATGTAAATAATGCCTTTCTCCACGATGACTTGGAGGAAGAAATTTATATGGAGCGACCACCAGGCTACACTCTCGATACTCCTGATCATGTATGTCGTCTTCATCGCTCCCTGTATGGTTTGAAACAGGCCCCTCGTGCCTGGTTTGAGAAATTTCAGGAAACTCTCTCAACTTGGGTTCAAGCATAGTTTGAACGATCCCTATCTCTTCACTCGCAACTCGGAGGCTGGTATTGTTGTTATGCTCTTGTATGATGATGATATGGTTGTCATTGGTATAGATCAAGTCGGTATTCACATCTTAAGGATGGGTTACAAGCTTCTTTCAGTCTCAAAGATCTTGAAATTTTGTCTTATTTCCTGAGTCTTGAGGTCACACGCAGCTCACGGGGGTTATTGTTTGGCCAACAGAAGTACATTACTGACTTACTTGCATATCATCAATTAAAAGACTGTAAGCTCGTTTCCACCCTTGTGGAGTTGAACTTGAAGTTACGTCGTGATTCTGGTACTCGTATGTATGATGGTATAACTTATTAGAGTATGGTTGGGAGTCTTATATACTTGTCCGCTACTCGGCCAGATATTTCTTATGTCGTTCAGATTGTCAGTCAATTCATGGCTGCCCCATGTACTGATCTTCTTGTTGTTGTTCACCGAATTCTTTGTTACTTACAGGGTACTAGAGACATTGGTACATTCTTTTCGTCTACATGACCTGCTCGCCTCCAAGTGTACTTTGACTCAGACTTTGCTGGTTGCGTTGATAACTACTGGGTGGTGTGTTCAGTTTGGTGGTGCTTTCATTTCTTGGCGTTGCAAGAAACAAGATAAAGTCTCTAAGTCATCTACTTAAGCGAAATATCGAGCTATGTCTGATATGGTCTCCGAACTCGTCTGGTTACGACACGTCTTCTCCATGATTTGGGTGTCTCCTGTCCTATTCCTATGGATCTTTTTGTGGACAACACGAGTGCTATTCGCATTGCTGTCAACCCAATGCTTCATGATCGCACGAAGCATATTGAGATTCATGTGCACTATGTTCGTGATCTTGTTCGTGACGGTACAGTGACTCTACACTATGTTCGTACTGAAGATCAAATTGTTGATCTCCTCACGAAGGCTTGTCCTAGTAATCGGCATTGGTATCTCTCGAGCAAATTGATACTCTCTGATTGGCATCAATTTGGGGAGGCTGTTAGCAAATCATGCCATTTGTCATGTTGACACATGCCCACTTGTACATAAAGCCCATCTGTCTACAAACCCAAGACAACGTTGGACGATGTTTGTCTCCTATGGTTAGACCTTTCTTTGTTGTTTTCAAATATATAGCTTCCGCAGCTGTGAGCGATAAATGTACAATTTGAGAGAATAAAAAAAAATTATAATGTTGAGAGAATAATAATTTCAGTAGCCTGGAGAGTGTTCAACCTCTCCCGTGGATTAGTCCTGATCATCAGGGATACCACGTAAACCGTATGTTTTCTTATTTCCGTATTGATCTATTTAGTTTGATATCCGTTCCGATCTGCAAACACAATCCCCATCTCCAAAGAAGCCTTGGAGTTCAAAACAATGCCAGACCCAACTCTTGCGACTCCAGATTAATCAGACATCAACTACAACACAATGTTACTAAAGTAGATCTACAGAGCCCTGGGAAGGTACAAACTGCTTACCAGAATATGAAGATACCGACTTGCTGAACCAATAACTTAACGATGTTGTGGAAAGAACTTGGTGAAGCTGCATACAGGTATATTCTTATATGGACACACAAACAAATACAAGATGTTGAAGAGAAGGGAAAGTCAAGAGGGCAGAGATATGCTCCTAAGGTTCAGAAGATTGTTGGTTGGCTTTATTGTCCACGAATTCACCTCCCGTGATTCATCGGCAAGGATGAAAGGCAATGAGATTTCCCTGATCATCAACTCCCCACAGAAGGGGCACTCCCCAGCTACCGCGTCATCCAATTGAGAGCGCAACTGCAGATTCCAATGGAAGTTAAACTCCGCCAAAGTTAAAACAAATACCGCCCGAGCAAGAAACTTGAACTGCTAGAGCACAGGAAAAATGCTACGTTTAAAAGAGAAAATTCTGATAGCGGTGATTGTCGACTGAAAAAAAAGCAAACCTTATCTGCATTGGTTGTGCTTGAAACCGAATCTTCAAACATGCTGCCGTTTAGGTCTTTTCTAGCTCCATCGCCCAACAGAGTAAGTTGCTTCTGAAGGTCCAGAATATGCTCGGCCTGCATTGTTCGTCATTACAAACATTAGCCAGAGTAAACATAGCGACTACCATACGGCTACTGACCCATCTCGCAAGGCAATCAAATTACGGGATCTTTGTTACGGCAACTTACCTGTGATTCAGTAGTACATCGTGTTACATGAGCAATCAAGCATTCTGAATGGAAGGCATGCCCACAAGGAAATACGTAGAAGGGAGCAATTGGTCCCACAGATGTGTATCCTCGAGACATGCGATAATCCCCACCCACATTCAAGATCTTCCTTCTGCAAACCTGGTAATAATTTGGAAAATAAAAGAAAGGTGATGGCTGGGTTACAGCTTTTGTCTCAATTATACTAGTTGAAGTATGAGCGATGGCATGAAAAGCACCAGAACAACTATACTTCCTGTTGAAGAATCTAATTTATGGGTTTGTTTGTTCTATCATTTAATAAAAAAATTACTTCGATTGAAAGTCCAAGTGAAAGTAGAGTTTTAGAAAAAAATTGAGGTGAAGGTGTGGGAGATAATTTTTAGTATAAAAAAGAAGGGCTTAATTGCAAGTTTGGTCACTCGAATTGCTACAAAATTTCACGTTTGCCACTCAAATTAATTTATTCCATTTATAGTCACTTAAATTAGGTTAACAGTCCAAGTTTGGTCACTGACCGTTAGTCTCCATTAACTTTCGCTGATGTGCCAGTCAACTCTAATAGTTTACCGTTAAATGTATGACGTGGCAATTAAAAAAAAAATTTATAATTTCCACCTCATTATCACCATCATTAAAAATAAAAAATTATTTATTTTAATTTCCTAAATCTCACGAACTAACCTTACCTCTTTCTCACCATCGCTCGGCCTAGATTTCTAGCCTTCAAATCCCTAATCCTAGGCCGCGACGAAGGGATGGCGGCAGGCAGCGGCAAGAACTTCCGACTGGAAGTGGTGGCGATGGTGACCACCACCGGCGCCGACAGCGCTGCCGTCATAAGCGAGGACCAGCGCGTGTTCACCCTCCCCCATGATCCAATGCTGAGCAAGGACACCGCGCAGCCCCGAATCCCTACTCCTCCGCAGTCACGATGTCACCGTTGCCTCCTCCTTACAACGCTTTTCCACTTGCCCAATTCCTTCATCTCCACAAGCACTCGGACCTCTCCCTCCGCACTCTCCCTCGTCACCCTCCACGACCAATAGTCCTCCCTCCTAGATCTCCCTCAACAAAGTCAAACAGCAGTGGGAATTGGGTAAATTGTGAAGAAGATAAATAAGAGAGAGAAAGAGATTAAGAGAGGGACTAGCAGAACACAGACCAATTCATTGCCACTGCAAGTAACAGAAACCATCCTAGAAGACTCATCCTTGGAGCTGAAATCCCTCACCTTCTTTGAATTGCCGGCGGCGTCGGCGCCACGATGGTCCGTCATCGAGGATTCCTCAGCGGACCCATCTGGATGTCCAATTCAAAACCCAATTGCAGCAGCAGCGGAGGCTAAATTGCCCACTCGGAGGCCCAACCCACCAGCACCGGCTTCCACATTGATCCCCTAAAATGGTCAAATCGCAAAGCAAGGACATCCCGTTCACTTGGTTATCCATGGACGGATGGCGAGCGCGAAGGAAGAATCGTCCTCGATTGGGTTAGGTTGGCGATGTGGAGATGGTGGCGGATGCTAGCAGAGAAGACGGGCGGCGGGGAGGACGAAGGGGAGCTTCTCGGCGGACATGGCCTGGACCTCGAAGGTTCTTCGTTTTGGGGGTTTTGGGGGAACGATGAAGATTTGCAGGTGGAGAAACGGATGGGGAATGTTATGGGAATAAAAATTATAATTATAATTTTTAGGATTTTATTTATTTTATAATTTATTGTGGAAATGAGGTGAAATTTTTATTATTTTTAATAGTTGAGGTGGAATTTTTAAATTTTTAAATTTTTTTAATTGCCACGTCATGCATTTAACGGTCAACTATAAGAGTTGACCGCCACATCAGCAAAAGTTAACGGAGACTAACGGTCAGTGACCAAACTTGGACAGTTAACCTAATTTAAGTAACTATAAATGGAATAAATTAATTTGAGTGGTAAACGTGAAATTTTGTAGCAATTCGAGTGACTAAACTTGCAATTAAGCCAAAAAAGAAGTAAATGATGGAATGGCAGATTGCTATTTTAGTACTAGAATTAGTGAGATTCAGAAAATGATGCTACTGGTTATACCTTCAGAATAAATTTATATTTCAATAAGTTAATTTAAAATAATTTCATTAGTGTTGTGACTTTTAGATTTAAATAATTTGTGGGGTGTAAGGAAAATAGTTCTTTTGGAGAGACAAATTGTCCATTTAGAGAGATTAACTTTTTACTCGCACGAATCATATGCAAAAGGGAAGCGACTTAACAACAAGATAGAAGTGATGAGATGAAAAGCAGAGAATAACACAGAAGATGAAACATACCCCACAATCCTCATCCTTATCAATGACAGCATATCTCTGAGCAAGAGCATTTATATCATTCCTTATATTGTCTGCACCATGGGTCGCATCATTCATCTCCTGTTTCAGTTCTTCAATTTGCTTGTTGTAATCCTCCAATGATGAGCATATTGCCTCCTACATTGGGCATAGAAACAACTCAATCCTGATACTCAGAACCTTAGCAAGCAAATGGACAACTGAAGCTGCAACTAGGTGCAATGAAGCTGAAATTGACTTAGATGTTAACCAGGTAAGGACAAACACTACTGAGTTTGAAGCTAGATTAATCCTGAAACTTGCTCGAAAAAGGAAAATAGTAACATTACAGTTCCATATACCCAACTTGAGAACTTCTCAATTGGGTGAATTATAAGAATACAAATTAGAAAGCTTATTAATATTTTACACATCAGACTCCCTCAAGGAAATCATCATGTTTGTTCTTGGGATGATTATGTCTCCAGAATAGCAAGGTTAATTTGAATTGATACATAGGAGATTTCTTTGAAAATTCGTAAGGCCTCTAATAATCACAGTTGTCTCTAAACAGGAAGTGACTGTCAATGGATTCCATCAGAAATCTATGGCATGGAGGTTAACTGTGGACACAGCTGGATAAGGGAAGAATAAACAGCACACCTCTAAATTAAGAAATTGCATCATGGAATAAACATCATACTTAACTGCCTCTAAAGAGCAAGTGGTTGTTTAGTCAAACTGACATACAGTACCAACAGAAGCACACTTACGAGAGTGCAATCAGAAATCCACCAAAAATAAAAGTAACTATATAATCTTACCTTGAAATCATCAATCAGGGCAAAGTCTGGAAAGAAGGGAAGTATATCCTCAATTTTCAACAGCCCATCAGTTTCTTTAAGAAATGCTATGGCCTTTCTAATGTTCTCCCTCTTTGTTCCCTTTTCCTGTTCAATAACATGCTTGGCGACCATGAGCCATAACTTTTTCCTCAGGTCTTCGTCGTCTTCTACTTTATCAGCTTCAGCCATAGCAAGCTCAGGATCAACCTAATGAGTAGCCCAGAAACCAGCATTAAAACCAACCAAAGAAATCTATGCCTAACTATCCTACTGTATACACAAAAATGATCGAAGTTTTTGGGATACACATAAAAGCTACTACAGTGCAATGTACAAGAAAACAGAGACTTAGTAAAAGGAATGATGACAGGGATCTGTAAGCTTGAACAATCTTTTATTTTATGTCGTCACAAATAATTGCAGCTATGATATCTACAAGCCCACAACAGTTGTAAGACACTTTGACCCACCAGTACTCTGGCTTATGCCAAAACAAATTTAGGTTTCATGCAGAACATTAACAGTAACAGTAGCTCTAAACCGTTACCTGCAGAGCAAGAGCAACTGCTTCTTCATGCATGGACATCATACTGTATATATGAACGCAAGCGCGCATTCGCTTCTCTTTGAGGCAAAGGCGGAGGGCATACTTCGGATCATAGAAGAAATCAGGTCCATTTTCTCGGCCTTTCCCAAACTTGCATTGTAGGAACCGCAGAAGTGCACTATCATCTTCCTACATTGGAGAAGGTAAAGAAAAAAAACGAAAATATCATGTAAGTAGCTTACATATGATCTGGGTAAACAGTAAAACGAAGGGAAACTGCAGGAGACGCACAGATGGGGATACAGGATATTTGGACTTCAGGAGTTGCATAAGTTTTAGACTACTATTTCATTTTCGGTGCACTATTAAAATTTATGCAAGTTAAGAACTATGAAAATGCTACTGTCATGGAGCTACTAAAGCACCACTAGACCCAAAATGAGGAAGATAAACATTAAACAGCTACAGAATCCGAATACTACTGAGGCACTAAGATATCCAAACACTGCAGAATACAAAGTATAATACTTATGATGTTGCTAAGTCAGATCATATGGCCTCGCAGGGACACCTTGGTTATATGTGTGAGGAACATGTTTGCCAGGCAACCTTATGCTGCCTCAACTGACATAAGTACTGAACTTGTTCTCCATAGTCAATGAAGAAAAACAGACCTAGTTGTAGATATGCAAAATACACGATTGAAGCCCTTACATAAATGCATTATATATATATATATACATAATCAAGAACATGATGGGCTTAAAAAGAATGACGAACACAAGAAGTTCAGCAAGATATCTACATCAGAAAATCAAATGACCAAATTGAACCTGCTTAGCATAGAGAGATAAAAGCAAATTGTGAATTCCGGGATCCTCATTATGCAGACGATGAACACAGAACTCCAAGTACTTGATGACCTCATGAGTTTCATTCCTGCATTCAACATATCTTCTGTTAGAAGACATAAATGTAAAAGAAAATTTCAGACACCAATGTCTTGAAATAGGATTTACAGGACCAAACTAACCCCAAAGGATGCAAACCAAAAACTTCTTTTCAAGCTCATTATGTTCCTATTGAGTTCTTGGCATATCAGTTGTACACAAGATGACAGGAAAACATCCAAATATGAAGATGTCATATTTGTAGGCAAACTATCCTAAAACTTGACAATCGTTTTCGACGTGAAATGCAATGTGCATGCTTACAGCTAAGTGAATCAGCATTCTTTTCACCGTCACATTTTAATCATATTGACACCACCTTTACATAGTGTAATTGTTCATCCAGTCAAATCCCATGTCAAAAAAATTAAGTTGATGCCTTGATGGCCTGAATGTGGGAAAGGCATGGTTAGCATCACTCAGTGTTGAACACCACATAATTAATCTAGAGATCATTACTTTGCATGGGGTTCACTTGAATAGCGCATCATTGCAGGAATCAATTTCCGCGGGTTTAGGTTCTTCGTCCCCATCCAAGACTCCACCGTTTCATATGCATCAAGAGCAATGAGATCTGGAGCAAACTTGTACTGTAAATGCAGACTTATCTGATTAGGATTGGTTAATACTGGGGGTCAAAATAGATGTTATAGCTAAGAAAAACAACTCCCGCCTTAGATTAGATGAACTAAGGCATCTGAATACTGTACTTGTACCTGAAGATCTATAGGCACAGCTGGCTTTTGAAGTACTTCCAAAGCTTTTTTTGTTTCTCCTTGCTGAAAGTGACAGAACCACCCAAAATAAATATGTGTATATATATATATACTTCGGTGCACTCACTTTTTTGGGTGCACTAAGTGTCCATAATACATGAAATTTTGAACTTTAATGAGTACTCTCAATCTAATATGATGATATGCCATAGAATCATAACAAATCAATCTATTACTCCAACCCTTTAACCTTCAATTTTGAATCACAATGCAAAATCCCAAACTGTAAACCTAAACCCTAACCCTAAACCCCTAAATCCTAAATCCTACAAATTAAAGTAAATTTTAAATGATTTTTTTTCAAATTCATGTGCTTCTTGTTCATAATATCATAAGCAATAATTGATACCGTTTTGACATGAATCGCATGCTCAGAATAATGATTATGAGGCGGGTGCACTGAGTGCACCCAAAAAAGTGGGTGCGCCGAATACGCCACAATATATATATATACATACATATAAATTCTTAAGAATTTGATCTACACTCATGACTCAACAGATTAATCCTTAAGAATTTGATCTAACTTAATTTTCATGATAGGTTAGAAATTAATTCTCAAAGTTACATTTCCAGTGAAGGTGAAGCTAGAATAGGATATTAGTTACTTGAGCTGCGCTTATGATACAGATTTTACAGGGGAAAAAAAACAGAACTTGTGATTTCTTTCCGTGATTTCTTTACATTTAAAAAAAGACATTCTTTCTTCTCCCTTTTTTTGTGTACAACAGAAAACTGGATAGAGTTCAGAAGTGCATAAGTTGAAAAGGTGAACACGCAATGTAAAACAAACATCAGAACTTGGAGCCATAAACTTACTTTTACTCTGCAGTAAGCAGTTGTAAAATCATTCTAAGAGAATTATAGCTGTGAAAGCACCTGTATATAGTGATGAATTACAATCTCATGCTGCTCCTTCAGACTAGCAAAATATACTAGTTCTTCAACTCGTCCGTAACTGCTTAACATGTATTGTCATCAAATTAGCAGATTTACTAAACATACCAAGGTTCAATAAGTAAGCATACAGAACATTTCTCATTAAGGTCCTCGATCCTCAAAAATCTTCTGTCACTAAAACTCACAAAAGGGCAACAATTATATCTACCATGAACATGTCCAGCAAGAAGAAAAAGAGAACATCTTATCAGTTGTTACAGTTACAGTAACTTTCTTCAGACACGATAAGAATAAAAGAGCAGGGAGCTACCCTGATTTTCATTCATTCACTCACCTAAAAGCACACAATTCAGATTATTTACCTCTCCAGAAGTTTCATTGTTGTAGCCTCGTCAAGTACATCTTTAGAATCACTGAGGAAAGCACAAAATTCTTGAATGATGGACTGGTACTCAACACCATGATTTTCCACTGCACTATCTTCTTCCAAAAGAAGCCGATTTATCTGAACATCAGCATAGAAGAAAGCAAACTCATTTTCAATCCACATGCTTGAAATGTCATTTGGTGTCCTCGGTCCTAAATGCAACAACATTTTCCTAAAATAATTTATCTACGCTTCCAGACTTACTAAAATTTGGGAATGCCTCTAGAGAGTGAGAGTGACATACTGTACCAGTTATTAATTCTCTCGGATCAAAATGTCAGAAATGCATTGACATGCAAGACACAAAATAAAGAAGCACTCATTCTCCAGGAATTCAAGCTGAAACTCACCTCCTTGGATATTGTTTATTCATACTGAGGAACCATTAATCTAATAAATGGAATAAATTCATATGACACCATATTAAACCTAACCCTCTCTACCTTATAACAACATAAGTACTTAAAGATGTGTATAATAATAACAGTTGCGAAGTAGTAGACATGCTATGGAGGTTATTTGTTCAGGTGACACAATATTGATAGATCAAAATACCTTGTCCAAGTACAATTCAGTTGCCCATGTCGAAATCATTGTTATTTGGCACTTATCCTCTTTTGTGAGATTATCTAGCCTATGCAACAAGAAAGTCCTCAAAGCATCCTGCAATAACAAGTGACACGAGTAACCTTAGGAACCCAATTCAATTATAAATAGGAAAAAACTCTTTACATAACTATCCAGTGTAGTCCTAAATTTAAGTGCATTTCATTGTTCATCCTAAATTAGTACTCCATATCTGGTGCTAAAGATGTCTTCTACCTACCCGTACTAGCAGTTGCAACAAATCACAGAAAACCTGATGATACATTTGGAAGTAATCTAAACTATGAATTACTAATTTAGATGATATAAAACCAACCCAGATACCTGTTCTCCTACACTGATAAACTTGAGGGTGACTTCCTCAAATGATAGTATATAGTTAATCTGCAAAATAAAGAACCAGATACCAGTCATGGATTGCTTACCCAGATTCATTGCTTAAACCCGTTCAGCAAAGTTACTATTTAATGAAACACAGCAGATAATCAGAATGGATGTAGTATGCGCTTCTTATCCAGATTATAGACAACAATATTCAGCAAATTAGTTCCCTTGAAAATTATTTCACCTTTTTTTTTTTTTTTTTTTTTGCCAGCGTCGCTTGCTCCTCTAAAAAAGCAAGCCAGGCTAAGACGGGGAAAAGCATAGTTTCTTTGTGTCATTTAGCCGGTGAATCCTTCATCAGAACTCACTGAATGGGAATTTCAATAATGAAATACTAACTAGAGAGTTGAGTTAATAAATTGGAAAGGAGGTCAGAAAGAATCGAACATAAGTGGAACGTACTTTTGCATAGAAGGATGCCGCTCTTTGAAAATCCCTCGAAGAAAATGCAGCATCTGCCTGCATGCCAATTGCAAACCGCTCTAGAGTTATAAAATGCCAAACAAAAAGTTATCCAGAACTTCTGCATACATGGCATAATTCCAAATTTTCGGTCTTTGAATTGAGAACTGCAGTTTAGAGTGTTAAATCTAATCGCAGTTGTTTTCATACCTGGACCAAATATACTTGATCCCTCTGAAATGGATCACGACAATTTGCTAAAGATGCAGCATATTCTTTCATGTCAAGATAGACCTTCCACATATCTCGGCCCTCATCGTTGACAGAAACCTATAGAGTGAAGCCGTACCAAAAGTTAAAGTTACTTTCTGGTCAAAGATAAACAGACACAAAACAAAAAATCTGCAAGTCGCTGGAAAATGACCTGGAAGACAGAATTCTGATCATATGCATAGAACAAGCCAGCAGTGGCATCGCTACACAACCCAATAATGCCCCTTGAAGCTGATTCTGACGTCAGATCAAAATGGAGGTCCTCTATGATATGCTCACTGATTCTGTTCACGACCTACAAAGAGTTTAGAACAGATGTCCAAATGTGAAAGATGTGAACAGATTTAGAATACCAGGAAAAACAAACATCTATGTTACCAAGTCAAACTTATGAGCATGCACGTAATAGAGTTGCTAAATAATGTAACCATCTACATTAGAACCTCAAATTCAACCTAAAGGGCCAGCCCTAACCCATCAATACGATATATAGGTTCATCCAAGAATAACAGAGCAAAGCCTAGACATATGATTACAAATGCCACCTAAACAGAAGAGCCAATCTAGTAGCGGTACTGAATGAACTCACCTTAACCTTGTTCCCAATGAGAAGTAAGAAATGGAATTCTGAAACAGCCATAGAAGTTGGCTTAACAACTTCAGAACCTTCGCTTAGTTTCGAGTAATCCAGAAGTGCTTTGTTCTCAACAAAATTATCACCATTTGGATTACTGCAAAGAATTTGCAGAAGACAGTCCAACTTTATAATGTAAAAAAAGGTCTCTTAAAATCTAGATTAATGATCTCCACGCATCAAGAAACAATAGACTTCCTCCCAAAACTCTCGAAATAGCAGGAGTTCATAATATTGAAGAGATAGCAAGTATCAATGATCAGAAGCCATCCAGACAATTACAAATGCTAACATACAGGAAACAATGAAAAATTATATAGCATCCCAGTATACCTATGCTGTGATCCAAAATTTAGTCCCCCGTGGTAGATACCTGCTCCTGAAAGCCACGCAAAATGTGTCGCTCTTCTTTGCTTGATAAAGAAATGTAGTTCGCTGAAAATTTATTGCAAGTGAAATCAAGAATCTGGTATCGTAAATCCATAGGACTCTAGTGGTAAAAAATTATTCTTCTGCTGACATAGAGAACAATAAAATTGAGCAACCTTTGCACTGATCCACTGAAAATTACTTTTCTCACTTTTCCAAGGGAGAACAATAAGAACTTTAACACAATACAAGGCACACTTGCCTGTTTGGTACTTCTCCAGGTAATTCCATAAAACGAACCGCGCGCTCCAAATAACTAGCAAAAACAGTCTGAAATACAGAAATGAAGCATTAGAGCAATGTAGAATTGATGCCGAATAGTGCATTAAAAATGAAACTTACTTCCAGCAATCCAATGCCAGTAAAAGAATAGAGCCGTGTAGGTGTAACAGCCATCACATAATATCTGGTTCCACTTCCTAAACTAGCTGTCTCCATCTGCACCAAGAGTCAAGAGATGAGGACCTTAGTACACATCTGGTCAAGGATATTCTCGCCTTATCAACAGAAGAAGGAAACTCATGCTGGTACAATAGAATAGAAAAAGGGACTAATTATATGGCTAGCTGAGAACCAGATGCAAGAAACATATATGAATATCAAATTCTAGTGTATAATAATGAATTTCAAGTTAGTGAAGGAAGATGGGAGGGAAAAAGAAATTCCGGGTTCCAGGTTCTAGGTTGCTACTTAAGTCACATAGTATACAAACTAAAAGGTAGCAAACATCAAGAAGCAACTGGTAGAAGGATTGCCAAATAAGGGACAGCAAATACAGTACCTGCAAGCCCATAAAAGCTTCTGGAAGTTCTTTCAATTCGTATATAAACTTTATGTACTTCTCCCTCTTATCCTTCTCATCAACAGCAATCTCATAAAGTTGGCCATTATCTGTGCCGAGAACGACTTCCTTTGTCGAAGCTGAGTTTGAACACAGAACCCAGAACACAGTACAACACAAAACCACTGGGTTTCAAGACTCTGAGCAACTCAATGTGAAAGAAATTCATGTTCAGACGGCATACAGTACACATAATCGTACCTTCCGTAATCTGTTGCCTATTCCAAGCAACTGCATTTACAACAAGACCTTTCAGTCTGCCCAAAACACGCGGCTTGCTCCATTTGGCATGAGTGTAGTAAGTCTCAGCACCACCAGCACCAACGACAGTGGCAATACAGTGACTTCCTCCAGGATCAACAAACACTCTGTGGATAGATTGCTCTCCGGGTCGTCCCGCACAGAGGTCAATGTCTATTATCCAAGAACAATTTGAACGGAAACAGTAGACATTCAGCTAACATTAACTTGTACCGAAAGAAATGCCAACTCTATACGTTCAAAGAAATTTGAGGCGAATTGGACAGAAAGAAATTTCGTTCGACAAACAATTACTCACCGTAAGAATCACCTACGCCGAAATCGTGCCTAATTACCCATCCTTTGCTTGTTCCCAGTACAATGACATCGTTTCCGGCCGCCATGGCAGTGATCACCCCGCGCCCTTTGGTCGCGTACCTCTCCAGGAGATCGACGGTGAACACCTGCCTCGCGTGATCCATGTTATTCCGATGATCTTTACCAGCGCCTCCTGTCGTACAAGAAGAACAAGCCTATAGCTGACTATAGAGCGGGAATTCTCTTCAGACCTCGCAGCCGCATGAAATATAATGAATTCCAGAAGCTCAACTCCGCCTTACCACCGAGATCGGAAATCCGCCGGCTACTTCGTTCAACTAAGGATCAGGGGTGTCTCCTGTGTATTGGAAATTAGTAAGAAAATTAATAGATGGGCACGGCGTCGTCCAAAGCTGCTACTGTGGAGAGTGGAGTTGAGCTTAGAACGGCCAAACGGGCTTGACAAGCCCAAATGACCTGGCCCGGAAGAAATGCTCCATATTGGCCCCCACGATTGGGATTGAGAAGGGGAAATCAACAAGTGGAGCCCTACCTATGGGCTTTCAAAATCAAATCTAGGGCTGGGAAAACGGTTGGCAGTTTGCGGTTAAACCGCCAACCGCACCGAAACCGCGCGGTTATTGGTTAACCGAAAACCGCAAATTTGGCCTATTTTGCGGTCGCGGTTGGAGATATGGCCTGTTTTGCGGTTTGCGGTTTAACCGCAATATAACCGCAAAGCTAACCGCGAAACCAAACCCAGCCCATAATTCACCCCCAGCCCAGCCCATAATTGACTCCAGCTCAGCCTGGCCAGCAGCCCAAACCCCCAACCCCCAAACCCGACCTGGCCAGCAGCCCAAACCCCCAACCCCCAAACCCGACGCCGTCGTTTTGCAAAAATCAAAACCCTTCGTTTAACAAAAAGTTGTTTCGTCCCTTCCTCCCAATTCCCACCGGAAACTGAATTATTGAAGTCTCAAACAGAAAACCCTTCGGAGAAGCAGAGAGACCCTTCATCTTCCTTCTTCCCGCTTTGCCATCCGGTCGCCGCCGTCCCTGGCGTCCGGCGTTCACCTGCGACGGTGGGTGCGCTGGCCCTGGCCGTCCGCCGTCCGTCTTCACTGAGTTCACTCTTCGGCTTCAACTAATCAAGTCAAGCCCCTGCCCTGCGCCCCTGCTCGAGAAAAATACAGAAACAGAGCATATTTGCAGTCATCGCCAGTCGCCACCAGAGCATAGCGTCGCTCTGCGTGCCTGCGTCCCTCTCCCTCCATCGTCCCGCCCTCAGCCCTCTATTCGTCTTCCTCTTCCTCTCTCCGTTCCATCAAAACTCAAAAGTGCCGTGCCGTTCCAAATCAATGTAAGCGGGACTTTTATTTCAGAAGTGTCGTGCGGTTGCAAATAGTTTAATTATAGAAACTTTATTCCATTGATTTTCAATATAAGCTGCAGTTAGATTTCACATATTTTCAATATAAGTGCCGTGTCGTTCCAAATCAATGTAAGCGGGACTTTGTTCTCCAAATTCACATGTTCTGCTTGAGCTTGAACCTTCTCTTCTGTAAATTGCCAAGTTTTCCTCTGTTATGTACATATATACATATGCTTGAACAACCTCCTAATTATAGTTGGCATCTTCTGATATTTTGATAGGGAGAAGCAAGGAGAAGGAGCAAAAACAATGAAAAACAAAGGAAAGGCAATTTCAGCTCCTGCCCCTGCCGCAAAGACCAAGAGTAAGAAGAGACGCAGGATTGATGAATCAAGTGGAAGTGGAGGACTTGCAGATGTTGCCGGTTCTGTGGCAGCACCTACTGCAGAGGTTGTGGCTCCTGAGCAGCCTGTTGCTGCTACTGGTGAAGCTGTTGAAGCAGCTCCAACAACAAAACAACCTGCAAAAAAGAGTAAGAGGAAGGTGTCCAAGATAAAGTCAACAGCATATGAAGAGTACGAACTGTATTATGTACCAAATCCAAATGCCGAGAAACAAGCGGCGGAGGGGAAGGTAGTGAAGAAGGAGTTGAGGAAGGCAAGATGCTTGTTTTGCAAAACAGAGCTAGCTGCCGATCCACGCGATAATGGTACTTCTGCTCTCCGTACTCATACTAGATCTTGTAGAAGAAAAAGGGCAGAGAAAGGTGGTCAAATGCAATTAAGCTTACAACCAATTGATGAAAGGATGAAAACTTTAGCCAATTGGAAATTTGAGCAGGGAAAAGTGAGGTATGCATTAGCTCAAATGATAATCATGGGTGAGTTGCCCTTTAGATTTGTTGAGAGGGCAGGGTTTAAACAATTTTGTCTTGCTTCGTGTCCTATGTTCAAGATCCCATGTAGAAAGACCATTAGAGAAGATTGCTTCAGATTGTTTGTTGATGGGAGGAAGCAACTGAAGAATTATTTCCATGACAAGTGTGCTGGCAGGGTGTCTCTCACAACAGATTGTTGGACTTCTGTTCAGAACTTTAATTATTTGAGTTTGACTGCTCACTTTGTTGGTAATGATTGGAAGTTACATAAGAAGATCATTGGGTTTCGTCGCATTACTAGTCACAAGGGTGTTGATATTGTTGACTCTATTGGGAGCATTTTGGAAGAATGGGGCTTGAAGGATGTGTTTACCATCACAGTTGACAATGCATCTGCAAATGATACGGCAATTGGTTGCTTGAAGGATAAATTGATGACTTGGGGTAGCAGTGTTAAAGATGGTGCATATTTGCATATCCGTTGTGTGGCTCATATAGTTAATCTCATTGTCAGTGACGGATTGGAGGAAATTGGGGTGGCTGTAATTCGAATTAGGGAGGCTGTGAAATGGGTTCGTGCTTCACCTGCAAGGTTGGAAAAATTTAAGAAATGTGCTAGATTTCATCACATTGACTGCAAGAAGATGTTGTGTTTGGATGTTCCCACTAGGTGGAATTCCACATATTTAATGTTGGAGTCAGCTGAGTTGTATGAGAAGGCATTTAAACTTCTTGAGACTGAGGATGGGGAGTTTCGGGTTGATCTCTTGAAGTTAAAGAAGTACAAGGGTGAGGAAATTGGTCCTCCAACTGCAGCAGATTGGGAGAGTGCAAGAAACTTGTGCAAGCACTTGAGTTACTTTTATGAGCTTACCTTACTTGTTTCAGGTACGAAGTATGTGACTTCTCATCTATTCTTGAGAGAGCTTCTTCATATATTCCACCAGCTCAAAGAAATGGAGGCTAGTGAGGAAGAGGAGGTCAGAAATATGGCATTTAGGATGCATGCAAAGGTAGGAAAGTATTGGTATGAGGCGGAGAATGATAATTCAAGAATGAACAAGCTTTTCTACATGGCAGTGGTGTTTGATCCTAGGCACAAAATGAAGTATCCCATTTATGTTTTGAGGAAGTTATATGGACAAGCTAGAGGGGATGAGTTGGCTGAAGATCTTCAGAGTGAGCTTACTTCATTGTTTAAGCATTACCAAAGCAAATGCAAACCTCCTACTCAAAGTCAAGGCCAAGGGTCACAATCTGGGATTGGGAGTGCAGAAACGACTACTCCTGGTGAGGTGGGCAGCCTTGTGCCCAATGTGGGGAGGCGTGTTTGTGATGATGATTATGAAGCGTGTGAGGAAATTGCTCAATCCTCCGAGTTGGACAGATATTTGGTAGAGATTCGTGAAGGAGATGCGAAGAATATGAAGTATGATGTGCTTAGTTGGTGGAAAAACAATGCACATCGCTATCCCATTTTGAGCGAGATGGCCAAAGACATATTTGCTGTCCCCATTTCCACAGTAGCTTCCGAGAGTGCTTTTAGTACCGGAGGTCGTGTGTTGGATTCTTTTAGGAGTTCTTTGACTCCTCAAATTGTGGAAGCTCTCATTTGCAGTGAAGATTGGTTAGCAAGCTCAACATTGCCAATTGAAGATGAGGATTTGGAGGAGTTGGAAGATCTTGACAATGGTATTTATTTTATTTTAGTTGCTTTAGTTTGTTGAGCTATTGTTACTTTGCTTTCTAACTTAATTCCATTCTAATATTTGTTTTATTGTTTTAGCATTCAAAACTTTAGTGTGGGATGTGAATACTTCTGCCACAACTGGACTTGGAAGTGCAGTAAATGCAATGCCCATTGATCGTGAAGCTCCTAGTGCTACGGGCGGAGTGGGACCTAGTGATGGAGGAGCTATTAGCGACAGTGATGGCGAGGATGACAGTTCTAGTGATGGGGAGGATAGTCAGTAGGATCACCGATTAAGAATGATTGAAGAATTGATGTTTAAGTTCTAGCTATGTCTATGTTTAAATTTGGGATGTTGGTTAATTTCCTATGAAGTTCAAATTTGGGATTGTGCATTTGTGCTTGTGGATTGTGTTATTTGGATATGCAGACAGATGCAGGGCTTGATTGAAGTGAAAATAGACAAAACAGTAGCTGCTGTGTTTTTTTTCCATGATTTTTTTGCGGTTAGTTCGCGGTTAATTGTCGGTTAGAGTGCTAACTGCGGTTTTATATGGTGTTTCGGTTGGTGCGGTTTTCACAACCATAAACCGCGGTTCACCGCTAACCGCGTTCTGCGGTTTTTGGTTAACCGCTAACCGTTGCGGTCGCGGTCGCGGTTGGCCAATATGGGTGTTTTGCGGTTGCGGTTAACCGCAAATTGCGGTGCAGTTAACCGCAACCGCACCGTTTCCCACCCCTAATCAAATCTGTGTCTTGTGTGTCGCAATGATACTCCGCACGTATATGTATTTATATGTTTAAAACTTTCGTATTCATATTAACGGGCCTAACAAGCCCAAATGACCTGGCCCGGAAGAAATGCTCCATATTGGCCCCCACGATTGGGATTGAGAAGGGGAAATCAACAAGTGGAGCCTACCTATGGGCTTTCAAAATCAAATCTGTGTCTTGTGTGTCGCAATGATACTCCGCACGTATATGTATTTATATGTTTAAAACTTTCGTATTCATATTATTGTCAAATTGTTTTATTTTTTCCCCTTCATTTGATGGTTCTCGTCAGAGTTCAAGAAGGCGCGCTTATGCGCTCGCCTAGGCTTAATTATGCGCTAGGCAATGGAAGAGCACTTCGCTTTTGACAAAAGCGCAGGAAAAAGCGCTAGGCGCGCATAATTAAAAATAATAGCGCCCAAGCTGCCTGGAAAGCTCCTAAGCGGTCTCCTGAAAGCGCTAAATTGGGGCTAGGCATTAGGGCCACCTTGATTCCCTGAACGACCTCGTTTCCATCTCGGCCTCCTTGGGGAATGGATTTAATCTCTTTGTATGTTTGCAATTCTTCTATCAAGTACGTTTTCTTCGTGGCTTTAGTTTAAAATACCAGGAGCACTAATTTATTATTTAAGTGGAAT